CCCCGGAGGAGGGGTGCTGGGTGTGTCCGGGTGTCTACTCCTGCCTGTCTGCTGCAGAGCGTGGCTTAGCAGAGTTCTCGGTCGGAGAAGCGCACCAGGCAGCGGCAGTAACTGCGGGCCCGGCGTACGGCAGCCATCTTCGCGGGGCAGGGGGCCAGATCGGGGCGCGCTGGGGCGGTGGCGGCGGCCAGGGACTCGGGGAGCGGAGGGACGCCCGTGCCAGCCGAGGCCGAGGACTGTGCGAGCACCGGAGCGCCGGCCCTACTGGAGACCCCGAACGCCGCTGCGGAGCTGCCCCCTTGGTTGCGGAGACCTGCGCCTGCGCGCGGAGCATGCGCAGTGCCGCCGGCGCGCTGCGCGCGGCTCGGCGCCCTGCCTCGCGCGGCCTTGTAGGGGTCGTCGGCCTCGGCGCAGGCTGAGTCTGTTGGTGACCCGCCTCTCAGACTCGACCTACGTATTCGGCGCAGTGAACACCTAGGTGAACTTGGAACGAGTGTTATCCCAAAAGCGTGTGTAACCCACATTGTGGATTGAGTCCCTAATGCAAGCCGCCCTTAGGGACGTCGAACCGGACGCTCGAGGTACTCCGGCTAGAGTCCTGCGCCAGAATGCGGGAAAACAGCGAAATGCGCGACAATCACAAGCTGTAATAACAATTTAACTTTTTAAGAGTACATGTAGGCACTGGAGGTTGAGGAAAAGATGCGCTTAGGTGCCAAGCAGGGGAAAAGGCAAGAAAAGAACCAATGTAAAGCAAGGCGGACTACAGATACCATAATGCAATGGGGGAAGGACTTGCGGCGCAAGGCTCTGAAATCCGAGTCCTGCGGAGGCGGCGCCCGCGAGGCACCCTGGGATTTGTAGTCCGCCTCCGCACCGAGCACCGGAACCTACACATGGCCCTCGCCCCACCTCTTAAAGCCCAAACACCCTATTGCACTTAAGTGAAGGTACGTATTAGGCGATGTTTTATTTTTCCACAATTTAAACCTTTTTAACTACGGAAGTTTGCATGCTCTGTGAAAACAGACAGCCCTGATAGCCTCTTACCTTCATGTAGTAGAAATTTACAGGAACTTATTATGATCATCAGAATTCCAAATATTCAACGAGCTCATGGAGTTTATATTTCTAATCCACTATTTTATTCTGGAGAGTTCAGAAAACCATTTGGGGCAGAGAAATGGTGGCGAGAGAATGATGAACTACAATGAGTCTAAATGCCATGTTTTAAAATTAATTAATTAATTAATTAGAGATGAGGCCTCATTATTGCTCAGGCTGGACTGCAGTGGCGCAATCATAGCTCACTGCATCCTCGAACTTCTGGGCTCAAGGGATTCTCCTGCCTCAGCCTCCCAAGTATCTGGGACTACAAGTGTGTGCCACCACACCCAGCTGATTTATTTTTAATGTCATTTATTTATTTATTTATTGCTGTAGAGACGAGGTCTCACAAGTTGCCCAGGCTGATCTTGAACCCCTGAGCTCAGGCAATCCTCTAGCCTCAGACTCCCAAAGTGCCCAGCTATTAAAATTTTTATAGTAAAGACTAGGTGTCTATGTTGCCCAGGCTGATCTCCAACTCCTGGCCTCCCAAAGTGCCATTAGTTACTGCGCCAGGACTGTTTTTATTTGCACCCTAAGTCAGTTACCTATAAAAAGTAGCTTGATGTTTAAAAAAGGTCAAAAATTTAAATTTTTAGGTTTTTGTTTTTTTTTTTGAGTCAGAGTCTCACTCTGTCGCCCAGACTGGAGTGCAGTGGCCGCTCCCAGCCACCACAGCCTCGACCTGTTGGGCTCCAGCGATCCTTCCGCCTCAGCCTTCTGAGTAGCCAGAATCACAGGCATGCGCTGCCACGCCCGGCTGATTTTTTGATTTATTGTAGAGATGAGGTCTCCTGCCCAGGGGAGTCTCGAACCCGCGGGCTCAGGCAATCCACTCACCTCAGCCTCCCAAAGACGCGGGATTACAGGCTGAGCCACCAAGCCCGGCCAGCTGATATTTTTATGTTCTCAACTCTCCAACATAACCCAGACAGTATGTGAACAATGTGAAGTGTGTGCCCCAAACAACCCCCAGCAGGGTCCTAGAATCTCCCCTGGAATGCAGAGTGTTGGAGGGGCTCCATTTGAAAATATAGTTGTGGACTTTATGGAGCTTCCCTTGGTCAGGGACTACAAATATCTCTTAGTTTTTTTGTTTTGTTTTGTTTTGTTTGAGTTGGAGTCTCACTCTGTCGCCCAGACTGGAGTGCAGTGGCCACTCCAGGCCACCGCAGCCTCGACCTGCTGGGCTCCAGCGATCCTTCCGCCTTAGCCTTCCAAGTAGCCAGAATTACAGGCGTGCACTACCAGGCCCGGCTAAATTTTTGATTTATCGTAGAGATGAGGTCTCGCCTGCACAGGCGGGTCTCGAACCCGCGGACTCAGGCAATCCACTCACTTCAGCCTCCCAAAGGCGTGGGATTACAGGCTGAGCCACCAAGCCTGGCTATCTCTTAGTTTTTGTATGTATTTTCTCTGATCGGGTAGAAGCCTTTCCTACCTGCACTGAAAAGGCACATGAAGTGGTGCGCCTGCTTCTAAGGGAAATCATTCCCCAATTTGGAATCCCAATCACTATAGGGTCAGAAAATGGGCCAGCATTTATAGCTGGGGTAATACAGTCAATGGCAAAGGGCTTAGGAATCACATGGAAATTACACACTGCTTACTGCCCCCAGAGCTCCAAAAAGGTGGAACAAATGAACCAGACTCTGAAATTACAGCTAAGCAAGCTATGTCAGGAAACCCACCTATGTTGGGATCAGCTGTTGCCAATTGCTTTACTAAGAATTAGGTCTAGTTCCACTAAGCAGACAGGGTTCTCCCCTTTTGAAATTCTTTATGGGTGCCCTCCCCCCCGCCCCCATTTTTTTTTTGA